CAGATAGTTTCAGTTCCCAATCTCAACTAGGGAAATAGATTTTGTAACGAACTCACCAACCACCATGAAAGCCAGAAGAAGAAAGCTTAGAAGCATTTTCTGTGAACAATTGATGGACCCGACTCGTCGTACTCTCCCTTTGAGATCCACATCTGTATCTCACACACACAACAAATTTCAGTATTTTCACTCAGGTTTCAAAATGGAGTCAAGAGAGTTTTGAAGAAAGTTGAATCGGGTTTTTACCTGTTGGAAAGTGCTGAGGGATGCGAGGATAGATCCTCCGATCCAGACACTGTATTTTCTCTCGGGCGGTGCAACAACCTTGATCTTCATGCTGCTAGGTGCGAGTGCGGTGATCTCTTTGCTCATACGGTCAGCGATACCTGGGAACATGGTTGATCCACCACTGAGGACGATGTTTCCGTAGAGATCCTTCCTGATATCGACATCACACTTCATGATGGAGTTGTAAGTTGTTTCGTGGATTCCAGGAGCTTCCATTCCGATGAGCGATGGCTGGAACAGAACTTCAGGGCAACGGAATCTTTCAGCTCCAATGGTGATGACTTGTCCATCAGGTAGCTCGTAGTTCTTCTCCACTGAAGAACTGCTTTTAGCTGTCTCGAGCTCTTGCTCGTAGTCAAGAGCGACATAAGCAAGCTTCTCCTTTATGTCACGGACAATTTCTCGCTCTGCAGTTGTGGTGAACATGTAACCTCTCTCGGTAAGAATCTTCATGAGAGAATCTGTGAGATCCCGACCAGCAAGATCGAGACGGAGGATAGCATGAGGAAGAGCATAGCCCTCGTAGATTGGCACAGTATGAGACACACCATCACCAGAGTCGAGCACAATACCTATTACAAAAAGAGAACACGATTTTAAGCAAATACAAGTAATAACAGAATGGTATTTAGAACTGCATGTTTAGAGTTGAGAACTAACCGGTAGTACGACCACTGGCGTAGAGAGAAAGAACGGCCTGAATGGCAACATACATGGCAGGGACATTGAATGTCTCGAACATGATCTGAGTCATCTTTTCCCTGTTGGCTTTAGGGTTAAGAGGAGCCTCTGTGAGAAGAACTGGGTGTTCCTCGGGGGCAACACGGAGCTCGTTGTAGAAAGTGTGATGCCAGATCTTTTCCATGTCATCCCAGTTGCTTACAATACCATGCTCGATCGGATACTTGAGAGTAAGAATCCCTCTTTTGGACTGAGCTTCATCACCAACGTAAGCATCTTTCTGTCCCATCCCAACCATGACACCAGTGTGCCTGGGACGACCAACAATACTTGGGAACACCGCCCTCGGGGCATCGTCACCAGCAAAACCAGCCTGCACATATATAAAATCATGATCAGAGCCAATACATAAACCAAAATTTAGCTGTATAAACGAAACAATCTCTTGACTCACCTTCACCATTCCAGTTCCATTGTCACAGACAAGTGGTTGAATGTCCTCACCATCGGCCATCTTTCACTGAACAAAAGGAAAATGAAACCGAAATCAATAAGTAAATTGCTATGTTCTCGGAACTAATTCGTCTTTCATCAAACATAAACACAGAGAAAAACACACCCACGAATCAGATCACAACATAGTTTTTGGCTAATTCATAGTGATGATTGATCACATCAGGCATGGTGTTTAGTAAAATCCGATAAAGTTGCGATAAAATCAGTTAAAGCTTCATAATCTGGGTTTTAAGAACTTGACAGATCTAAAAGAGAAAAAACACTTGATAAACTTCGCTTATAAACACCTACACATAACAGATCGAAGAACAAAAACTAGATCAATCAAACATACAAAGTAAAGCACGAAATCATTTCGAACTTCACCTCACTGAGAAAAAACGACGCAGATTCAATCAACCAAGCAAAGAAATCACCCAAACTCTATAGATCTAACACAAAAACCCTAAGAAATCAACGATTAGCACAGATCGATCCAACCAACACAGAAACTCAAACGTATGCTTCACAGATCTGGTAAATCGGCGTAGAAATCAAACGATGAGAGACACAGAAACAGATCTAGACTCACCTTGG